AAAAAAAAAAAAAAGAACAAATCAAAATCATCCATTTTTTTAATCCTTATCTCAATTTTAATGTATACTTCATACCAATTTGTTCACTTGTCACCATTACTCAAATTACTGATCAAATTAGTAATTCGGTTAGATAAATGTGATAAACAAGTATTATATTAATTAGTTTGTTAGGAATGTGATTATATGGAATTAAGATAAAATGAAAAAATGAAATTTACCAAAAAATCTGCTTTGGATCTTTTTCTTTAAATGTTTGAATTTAAAAATCCAAGAACCAACTTTAGATTATATCACATAAGGAAAAAATAAATATTAAACGTTTGTTAATATACTTAAGAATATATTTTTAAATTCCAAATAAAGTAAAAGGCATGATAATTCAAATTAATTTTAAAAAAAAAAATCTGAAATGTACAATACTTTGGTAAGTATATCCGTAAGTCGTACCATTTTAATTTCAAAAAATTAACAAGTTTGTTAAGATAAATCCAATTAGATAAATGATTAATTAGTTAAAATATTATATTAATTATATCTTAAAAACTAATTAGTTAATGTGGATAAAATTATTATATTAATTAGTTTGTTAGTAATGTAATTATCTAAATAAGATGAAATAAAATATACTAAAAAAAATTGCTTGTAATCTTTCCTTTAAATATTTTTTTTTTTTTTCAAAAACATTTTAAAAACACATTTAGGCGGGATGTTTAAGAAAATTCAAAAATTTTGCCAAGTTTAATAACTTTAAAAATGTAGGATCCTGTGCACATGCACATATGCAAATAAAATTTGATATCACAAGTTACATAATGAGCATATCACATTTTATAAATTTTATCATTAGTAAAAATGAATCAATAATATGAATTATTAACTTACATATTATTTTTTTATATCAATTGCAGTTATATAATTTTTGCAATCTTTTTAAATTATGAACAATTGATTAGATAAAATAATATTGAAATTATTATCATAGCAATTGTGTATGAAATTTTAAAAACTTTGGTTATATCATAAAAATTAAATAACTATTGTTAATAAAAAAAACTTGTTTAAAGGGTTAAAACAAAATATAAATATATATATATATGTATATATAATTTAAAGAAATAGTTTGAAGAAAAAAACTAAGTATAATATCATTTAATGTGACTTTATGATTTGTTAGTAATAGTTATTATATGATCAAATAAATAAACAATATAAAACTTAATTAATGCAAAGTAACGTCTTTTGGAGGAAAAAATTTTGAAGTTTATTAACGTTCGGCTAGCAATAATATATATATATATATATAGATTTTAATTTAATTAATCTCTATCTTTTTTTTAATATATATATCAATAGATTTTACCCGTTCAAAAAGTATGAAATTTAGGTCCACTAAAATTTGTGGTCAAAAAAATAAATAAATAAATAAATACGTTGTAGTAGGTAATTTCACTTGTATTTCATAGCCACCCATTCACTGTGCACTGGACAACACCCTGAAATTCTTTAGCGAGCTCTGCACTTTGTGAGAAGGAAAGCTAATAAGCAGACAAATTCCATGTTTTCCGGGATGCATGGCCATGGAAGTGAAAGAACTCCTCTTATAAGCAGACAAGTAAGCTTCAGCTACATATACATATACAGCGCACCAACTGTTTATCCATGTTCGCTTTGTTTCCTGATTTTGACTTCGTGAATTCCGATGATTTCTTGATTTTTTTTCTCTATTTTAATGGACATGTTTTCATGATTAACGACGACCCTTTTGTGTATCTTCAGACATTCTCAACGTTTTTCGATTACGACTTCATGTACTTGTGTTTCACTTTTGAATTTTAGGTTTTTATCTTCTTCTTCTTCTTCTTCTTCTTCTTCTTCGTTTTTCTTCGTTAAAGTTTTGATTTTTTTTTTATTTTTTTTTAACTTATGTGGCTTGTGAAATCATAAGCAAGATAAAGTTGCATTTTTTTAACTGGTAGATTTGGTTTAGTTGAGGAAAGGACTGTGTTAATTGAACTTTATTGGCTATGGCTTGTAGGAAATTTAGGGATATGTTAAAGTTGATCGAATATACAAGATCTACATTTGTTATATTGTTTTTTTTCTTTCTTGTTCTGCATTTTTTATATGGGTTTTCTTTCTTACTTGTTCTGCTTGATTAGGGAGGAAGAAAAGGAAATGCGGCTGCCGATCAACTGACAGACCTTGAAGATGGAAATGCTATACCGGTATTCCGTTTCCCGTTTGAATTGTTTGATGATTGGTTTACATAGTTTGTATCTAGTAATGTGTTTGATTTATTTTTTGGTTATAGGCAGCAAATGTGGGCTTTGGTAGAGTACTATCCCTTGTAAGTGGATATCAGTTTCATAGCACGATAATTTACATAAATATGCTCCGTATGATAGAATTTTACATGAAGCTTTTTGACAGGCAAAACCGGAAGCTGCAGGTTTAATTGTTGGCACAATTGCTCTCTTGATTGCTGCCACATCAAGTATATTGGTGGTAAGTAATGATGTTAAAAGTAATGAACAGTCTGAATAGAAATCAACTAGCCGTCATCGGAGTTGACGATACATTCTAACTTTGTTTAATATTTTGGATATAAACTTTGGCAGCCGAAATTTGGAGGGAAGATAATTGATATTGTTTCGGGAGACATTCAAACACCCGAACAGAAATCTGCAGCTTTGAAGGCCGTCTATAATACGATACTTGAAATCTTTTTGATAGTCATAATTGGGTATGTCACTTATGGTATGGTATAGGACAAGCTAATACCTGCCTTTTAGGAAGAATGATTTCTACTTTTTTCTCCCTGTTCACCTTATCATATCAATATTCATTGAGATGCTATATATAGAAATACAAACAAGTATGGTCTCTGCACCTTATCATATCAATATTCATCTGTATAGATTTTTCATTAGAGTTGAATGGGTGTCTTGTGAAATAACTCGTAATGCATTTTTTCTTCAGTTCCATCTCTACAGCTGTTCGTTCATGGTTGTTTTCCGCTGCCAGTGAGAGGGTTGTTGCTAGATTAAGAAAGAACTTGTTCAGTCATCTCGTGCACCAAGTAAATGACATATTTCCTTTCACTAATTGAATCCTTGTTATGTTTTATCAACTGGAATATTTCTATCTAAGAAAAAATCAATTTCCTTACCGAAATTTGATTTCAGTTGGTGGAAAATTTTGTAGGAAATTGCATTCTTTGATGTTACTCGAACAGGGGAGCTCTTAAGTAGAATGTCTGAAGATACACAAATTATTAAAAATGCTGCGACTACCAATCTCTCAGAGGCTTTAAGAAACCTCTCGACTGCATTTATTGGTCTTGGGTTCATGTTTGCAACATCGTGGAAGCTAACATGTAAGGCACAGTCTTTCTTAAAACAGACAATGAATGAATGAACTCGTATCTGCCCCTCTACCATTCCCATAACAAATAATTTCTTAAATCGTTTGTCTTCTCAGTGCTGGCTTTGGCTGTTGTCCCGGTTATTTCAGTTGCTGTACGTCAGTTCGGACGATATCTAAGGGAACTTTCCCACAAGACTCAAGCTGCTGCTGCTGTGGCTTCTTCTATTGCTGAGGTGTCCTAACAACGCTTAGTTAATTTATCCATTTTAAATAATTTACAAAATTACTTTAATGGCTCATTTTTTATATCCTTTTTCTCCCACGATTTAGGCGATTCAGAAAATATTGCAGCTCAGAAATTTGTTCAAGTATCTTCGTGTTAACTTAATTTTACTTGAGTGCTAAAGCGAATTGAACGACGTTTCTCAACCTAGAATTTATTAATTTTTTTTTTTAAAAAAAAAATCATTGATGTTAAAGGACATAAATAAATCTGCATTTTGTTCTTTGGCTATATCATAAGGAAAAAGAAAACATTAATTTGAATGTATTTTATGTTTGCACAGTTTTCACTCAAACATGTTATGCTTGTGCAGGAAACATTTGGCGCCGTACGCACAGTGAGATCCTTTGCTCAGGAAGAGTATGAGAACGCTCGCTATTCTGAGAAAGTTGATGAGACCCTAAAACTTGGAATAAGACAAGCCGTGAGTTTTCTATTATGAAATGGTTTTCATGTGATGTTTAATCTTTCTAAAATCATATAATGTCTGCAGAGACTTGTTGGTTTGTTCTTTGGTGGTCTTAATGCTGCTTCAACCTTATCGGTCATTGTGGTTGTAATCTATGGTGCTACTCTCACAATCAAAGGCTCCATGACTCCAGGATCTCTTACATCTTTCATTCTGTATAGCTTAACTGGTAATTTAAATTTACCTTGTGCAAAATGGATGTTTTACTGAGTTCTAGTAGAAAAAGTAAAACAAAGGACCAATATTTACTTGATTCACTCTTTTATGTTAGTGTAGTTGGATCATCTGTATCTGGACTGTCTAGTTTATATACAGTGGCCATGAAAGCTGCTGGGGCGAGTAGGCGAGTTTTCCAACTTTTAGATCGTGTCTCATCCATGCCGAAATCAGGAAATAAATGTCCCCTGAAGTTAGTTCTTCAAATTAATGCTCTTTTTGCGGTTATTTTTTATTTTTTTTTCCTCGATTACCACACTTCTAACGAGCTAGGTTCATGCTCTGTCAGAATATTCACATCATTGATGAGTATTAATCTTAATTAGTATGTTTATACACAGTGATGAAGATGCAGAGGTAGAGTTGGATGATGTTTGGTTTGCCTATCCTTCCCGTCCTACTAGTATGGTCCTCAAGGTATTAATTATATTATCCACTTTTGATGGCACAGTAATATTCAGAAATCACAAAGGTTATGCTAAGTGCTTTATTTTTTTCTGTATTTTCCTGCTTTTAGGGTATAACACTAAAGTTAAACACCGGTTTGAAGGTTGCTTTGGTTGGTCCAAGTGGTGGTGGAAAGGTATTATAATGTTCCTATATTGATGTTTGGTTTGCCTATTAATCAATGTAAAAACTGTATGAAATGGGAGATACATTCATTTTGCGTGATCTTTTTTTTTTTTTTTTTAAATCGATGCTGCAGACCACAATAGCGAATTTGATAGAACGATTTTACGATCCTACTAGAGGAAAGATATTGCTGAATGGGGTTCCTCTGGTTGAAATATCACATGAGCATCTGCACAAGAAAGTAAGTTTTTTTTTTTCTTTTTAATCTCAATATATACATTGTCTTCAAGATTGCTGATTTTTATATTGCTTTATATACACTGTTATCTTGTTTTTATCTAAATACAGGTTAGCATCGTGAGCCAGGAACCTGTTCTTTTCAACTGCTCGATCGAAGAGAACATTGCCTATGGATTTGACGGGAAAGCAAGTGCTGCTGACATAGAAAATGCGGCTGTAAGTTTCACTTTTTTCCAAAACCCTAATGAAGAATAATGACTCTAAAAACTCACATTTGTTTGTTTTCACTGTATTTATAATAACTTGCAGAAAATGGCGAATGCTCATGAATTCATCTCTAAGTTTGCCGAGAAGTACCAGAGCTTTGTTGGGGAACGTGGCGTGAGGCTTTCAGGTGGTCAAAAACAAAGAATAGCCATTGCCAGAGCTTTGCTTATGAATCCAAGAATCCTGCTTTTAGACGAGGCAACCAGTGCCCTTGATGCTGAAAGCGAATATCTCGTTCAGGTCTGGTTTTATTTTTACAGAGATTGATTTTGTCTTGGATACTAAAAACGAAATGAAACAAATAATAAAATAAAAACAAATATATCCCTGTTCTACAGCAGAATGAAAGTTTCAGACATTAATATATCCTATCACAACCTTAAATTTCATCTTCCAATATTTCACTTTTTCGTATTCCTTCTTTTTACGTTTTACTTTTTCGTAATGCTTGTGATGTTCGGACCGAAACAGGATGCCATGGACTCCCTAATGAAGGGAAGGACGGTGTTAGTCATAGCTCATCGGCTTTCAACCGTCAAAACTGCAGATACAGTTGCAGTAGTTTCTGATGGTCAGATAGTAGAGAGAGGGAGTCACGATGACCTCTTAAGAAAGGATGGAATTTACACGGCCTTGGTTAGGAGACAGTTACAAGCACCAAAACCAGAAATATAGTCCACTTAATGTAATCACAGAGCGGTATTTTGCTGATATAATCTGACGGATCCAAAACCGTCATGCTAATTTCCAGTTCTTTATACGAACAATATGTGTTTATTTACTGCTAGTAAGTGTGTTTATTTACTGCTAGCTGAACATTATTTCCGAGTAATTTCATTCCACTGCCATATTTTAACAATTTTGAGGAGGTTGCAAGAAAAATAACACATATTTCTTCACCTAAAAAGTTATAGAAGATAAGTTGATGCTGGATGACTCAACCGACATTCATTGAAATTTCACTGCCTGCACAATCGTTTTTCGCCTTCACGTTACGAATGCAACATATTCAGTGATGACCTAAATGAAAAACTAATGAAAAATGAAACAACAACATATTCACTGATGACCTAAATGAAAAACTAATGAAAAATGAAACAACTGTTACATAAAACGATATTGGAAGTTGGTGCATCCAATATACAGGTTGAGCCACATATATTCTGTGTAAATTTCAGAGAGAAAAGGACTATTTCTCCATTTTCAAACATTTTTATTTTTTTTTTCTAATCCTTGCGACTTTCTCGACCCAAAATTTGCCTGCAGAAAATCAGAGGACCCACTCCATAGCTGATTTTCTCATCAGGAGTTAAAATGTGTTTATTTATTCAAGGCAATGATGCCAATGATTCCACATATGCCTTGACATTCTTAACATCGTCTCTCGTCTCGGGATACTTTTGCGGCCTAAAAAGCTTCCACATCCCGGTTGGGTGCTGTTTTTGAGCCTCACCACCTCCACTATACCTACCATAAATCTTTTCACACTCCGGATATGGCTTCACGTACATATTATAAAATCTCATTCGACTCAGCCTAACTAAATCCCTCAAACCCACCTCATCCCCAAGCCCATCACTCGCGCGCAGATGCTCAACCACTCTAAACCGAGGTACAATCTGTTTTTCAAAATTCACCCCTAAGTACTCGGGTACCTCAACCAGGCATTGAACATCAAATTTCATCTCACGAACCAAATATTCGATCTTCTTCTCGATTTCGTCGATTTCATAAAGAATTGCCCTCGGTTCTTTCCATAAAACCGCAAACGCATCTCTGTAAATCAGCCCGTGTTTTCTTAAGCAATCAATCCTCATTTTCACTCTGTATCCAGCTCTAACCTCTCCATCTTGAAAAATATTCTTTTTAATGACTGCCCGGCATTTTAACTTCCTAAGCATCTCCACACACTGTGAAAGCTCACCATTTTCCAAACCAAGAATCTTGGGTTCTCTAAGGACCTCTCTTCTTATCACGTCCGAGCCAAAACCCAACGCTTCGAATTCGTCGAGCAAAGGTTTTAATCTGTCAGCCACTCCAAATGATAGAATCTGAGGACACGAATGGAATACCCTATCGTGTTCCCTCGCCGGGATTCCAATTCCCATCAAGAACTCAACTTTACTTAAAATTTTATCCCGGTTCGACATAATTACCATCGGCACTGCTTCTAAAACCCTAGCTACGGTGCTCCCACTGAAGCCCAAACCTTTCAGAAACTCAACACACCTAAAAACACAATCCGGGCTCAGCCCGAATTTCGTGGCGGTTTCGAGAACATTCCTAATTGCAAGCTCTGTAAGATTATTACAAATCCCCAAACGTTTAAAACCCAGTTCCCAATGTTCCAAGATTTCACGATGTAGGACACGGGGACAGCCAGTAACAGTGGAAACAAGAAAGTCTTGAGAGGGTTTAAGCGATAGTAAAATCTGAAACGATTTTTCGATTTCTGACTCGTTTGAGCTGAGCAGAAACTCGTTCGTTTTGAGAAAATCGGGTGAGAAGCCATACCTTTGAAAGAGATTGGAGAGAGTAATCAAGTTCGTTTCGGTGGATAATGGGGTTGGGCAGAGAGATTTAGATTGTTTGTGGGATGATGATGAAAATGGACGATTTGTTGTGGAGGGTGATGATTTTCGGATATGGTGTAAAAGGGGGCATCTCATCATCCTAGAAGCCATTTTTTATTTTTTATTTTTTATTTTTTTGGTTCTGTAAATTATTCAAGTTTCTTGCTTATGTTCTAACTTCTAGGTGCATGTTAAGTGATACCGGTTTTGCTATGAAGCCAACAGTTGGCTGCATAGTGGAGTCAATCTTTTATATACAACAACCTACCATATTCTCTGATTACTTAAATAGTTGTATATAGAAGGTTGACTCCACTATGAAGCCAATTGTTGGTT